AGGGCCGGCCTCGGGCGGGCCGGCGGGCGGGTGGCAAGTTGGAGCGCTTGACCTTGCAGGCCCGGGCTGGGGCGTCGGCACTAGTGGGGCTGTGGTGTGGGGGGAGAGCTGGCGGGCGGTGTGCAACGATACAGAATCATTAAATCAGTAAGGCTGGAAAAAACCTCTAAGATCATCCAGTCCAACCATCAACCCATCAACCACCGTGCCTGCTAAACTGTGTCCTGAGGTGTGGGTTTGCTGGGAAACGTGGCTTTTGTGCGTGATAGGAGCGTTAGAGCCTTTACTAAAAGTGAGATTCAGAAGGTTTTGTCTGGTGAAAGTTACTGTACTGTTGGCTGCCAGTGTACAGGGTGGTGGAGACTGTGGATGGTGAAAGTGCATTCTCTTCCTCACTGAGCAACAGTATTCCGTGCTCGTTAGGAATGCTGGAATTCCCATGTTACATCACGCCATGTAAAATCAGCAATAATGGCGTCCCTTATCCTCAGACTCCTGGAGCGTGACAGAAGCAGCTGAGATCCCAATTATGACTGTAAGAACAATGACTGGCAGCAAGTAAACACCAGTGACAACATTAGCTCTTAACAGTCTGCGGACGTAATTCGTAGATAGAGAATCCAAATGCACATACCACGTTAATAAACACAAAAGAGCTTTTGTGCATAGAAGCAAATGCATATCGGTTACTATCAAAATGAATACTAGAACATGGATTTCAGTTTGATGCATGCGCAGCTCTGCAAAGCTGCGTTGATTTGCTTTGCATATGTTGGCTCAAAGTAAGAAAACAGGAAAATCTGTGATGTTTAACTTCAAGGGGTGGAACACAAAAATGAAGGGTTTTTTTCAAAAGGAAGTCAAGAGGAGTTACTTGCAGACTAAATGCGTGTGGGCGAGACAGAGAGGAGGGTTTGTATCTGTTTAGTCTTTTCAATTCTTTAAAACCTTAGCAAGGTTAAACAGCACAGTAAAAGGAACCATTAAATTATACACAAACAAAAAAAACACAAAATAATCTGTGTTAAGCTAAATGTAATGGGAAAGAACAAGGAAAAATCAGACAATTTGTAATTACTTTTCACAGCCTTTGCAAAAACCTGTATCAGACACGAGGCAGAGAGCGTTATGAGGAGTACTTCGGGAGAAAAACCTTCAACAAGCTATGTTAAATCAGTAACCCCATACTGAAAACAACTGGGGAGGATCCCCTGTTAGGAATGTGCAGGAGATGGTGTTAACAAACCCAGTCAAATGGAAGTGCAACTAAAGGAACAAACTGATAATAAAAAATGATTGATTGAGGTGATATTCCAAATTGTTGAGGGGGGAAGAGCCGTGGCTATTCATAAACAAAGATAAGCCTAAATTAGGTGTTATTTTTGAGGAGGAGATCACGGAAACATCTATTCTTTAAAAACCCTGCTCCATTCTTAACAGCAATCAAAAAATAATTAGGAAATAATAAAAGATTAAAAACATCTTCATGCCTTCATTATGTAAATGTTTGAGGCCCAGATCTTGAATGCCATGGGCATTTCTTGCCAATAAAGAGAAAATGGCAAGGACAGTCCGTGTGAAATTGCTTGTAAAGGAGAAAGAATTAGATGGACTGCAGCTCCGGCTTACAAAGAAGGTGACTTAATGTTCACAAAGGGTATAAATAAATAGAAAATTCTTACTTGCCATTTCTAGTAACTCATTTTGTTTCACGCCCCTTATTCTTACCAGGCAATATGTTGAAAATGAACGGAAATGTTTTTCAGGTAGTATACAATTTAACGATGACACGCAATATCATGGTATGTTAGAAGCTAAGAGCATAAATAGAACAAAAATGGGAAGAAATGGCCATCAAATACAGCTATTTTTGTCTCAGAAAAGCCTTGAAGCACAGATTGGTAGCTGGTGGGAGGATGCAAACAGAGAGTGTTGTGATGATGGCCTCCTTCCTTATGTTGTTTTCATTTGCATTGGCCACTGCCTGGAACAGGTGGCCTGGCAATATGGCTGCCTGTATTTATGCTTCAGGCTTTACCTCTTCATTCGTGTGCTTGAAAGCCCCCTCAGCAAGGCAGGGAACGTAAGCAACACAGCCCCCACTCCAGGTACTTGATGTTTATCCTACGTTGCTTCCTAACAGCCGTGTCCTTCAGTGCACCGCCGCGCTTCTCCTGACCTTTGAACGGCTCTACCAGCCCCGCTGGGGAATTCGGAAACATCAAGCTAGTAACTGTTTCTAACCACATGCATTTAATAAAGGCAAGGGGTAACGGTCTGCAGGCACTGCTCCAAGCAGCATTTAGTGATCCATGCACTGTTACGGCCGTGCCCAGCCTGCTGCCATCGCCATCATGTCCAACTCCTGCTGTTCTCTCTGGAAAATCCCAGGAGGGC